ATAAAGTTGTAATTTGGAGATATTAAATCAGAATTTTGAGACAAAAACTAGGAATTTTTAAATATTCATTCTGATTTGTGAGACATAAACTCTGAATTTTGAGCCATAAATCAAAAATTGTGTAACACTGAGAATTAAAAGCTAAAAACGAGCACAAACAACCTTCCATACACCAATACTGTTTTCAAGATTTAATATCCTGATCACTGTGCTTCTCCAGCGAGCGCATCTCGTTTATTAATACTCAGAGATCTGAACTGCACATCAGGACAGAAACACAGAAGAAGAAGCCGATCTGCAGTGTGTTTATCGCTACACTACTGTACACACCGCCCTCACTTCATCACATACTGTATTAATGCTACGCTAAAGAAACAGCACCTCACACACACACACACACATACACTCACACACATACAAATACTGGCATCCTATAGAGTAGTAAAGCAGCAGAGGTGAAGGATCAGCGTCTCAAATCCTTCACTGAGTGGTAGTTTAGTTTAGTTTAGTTTAGTTTAGTTTAGTTAATTAAGAATCTAACAGTCAGAAAGGTAGTTTGGCAACATGTGAGCAGGGCAGAAAGGTTTAAAAGCACAACAGAGACAGATATATTACAGAAAACAGCATCATCATCATCATCATCATCATCATCATCATCATAGCTGAGAGAAGATTAATATCATCAAACATGCCTGTCTTTAAACACACACACACACACACACACACACACACACACACACACACACACACACACACACACACACACACACACACACACACACACACACACACACACGTCTCTTCTGCTGACCCCAGTTACATTAAACTAATCAGAAATACAGTCAATACTGACAGAAGTCTTGTGGAGGATCTCGGCTGTGAGAGCAGCAGATAATATCTGGTCTTCTAGTTGATGATGTGTGAAAGTGTCAGAAGGTGGATTTCTCTGCTGGATCATCTGCTTGATCTGCATCAATCATCACCAATACTGCAGAAGACCACCTGGAACCAGCATGGACCAAGATTCTGACAGAAATCAGTCAAGTTTGGTGAAGGAGACATTATGGTTTGGGTTCATTCAGTATGGGGGCGTGCGAGAGATCTGCAACATCAACAGCCTGAGGTATCAAGACATCTGTGCTGCCCATTACATTACAAACCACAGGAGAGGGACAATTCTCCAGCAGGATAGCGCTCCTGCTCATACTTCAGCCTCCACATCAAAGCTCCTGAAAGCAGAGAGTGCTCCAGGATTGGCCAGCCCAGTCACCAGACATCAACATTATTGAGCTGATGAAGGAGGAGGTGTTGAAGATGAACACAGAGACTCTTGATGAGCTCTGGGATCCTGCTGAAGCTTTCTTCTTCATTCCAGATGACTTTATTAATCAGTGATGTGAGTCATGTCAGAGATGTATGGATGCAGTCCTCCAAGCTCATGATGGAGTCAGACACAATATTCATTCTGTCTCCACTGCAGCAGGACTTTATATTCTATACTGGACATTATTTCTGTTCAGTGATGACACTTTAGTCTGAGCAGAGTCAGAGCGCACTGTCCTCATCAAATCAGTCAACATCAAGACATGATCAGATTTATTGAGCTCAAATCAGCAAAATCTAGAGGCCTTCACCTTTCATAGAGACACTTCTGACACCAGATCAGCAACTAGAAGAGCAGATATTATCTGTGTTCCTACAACTAGGATAGGCCACAAGACTTCTGTCAGGTAGTGTAAATATTATTATCAGTTTGAACAGCTGTTTAAACTACTGATTTTATTGTTTTTAATTTAGTCAATAGTTGCCTTATTGACACAATTTTTTAACAGAATGGCCAAACCATTTTATTTACTGTTTGAATAAAATATGGAATATATTCTACATTTACCAATGTTATAAATTATACAATAAATGACAAATAAATGGCAGAGAAATAAAAGCATATAATATGTCTAATATTAATTATTTTTAAATAAATAAATAAGTAAATAAATAAATAAATAAATAAATGTAATCATAAATAAAAAAAAAATCTAAATTAATGCAGTGTATTCATCATTTCTTATATACTACAGTGGCATTTATATCTGTGATGTATAAAGATTCCCTCAAAAACGTAAAACTGAACGGTAAGTAAACAAACCTGGCATTGCGAGACAGGAACTCAGAATATTAAATATAAACACTGATACTGCTAGATATACACTTTCAATTTCTCTACCGAAACTTCAAATTATGAATTAATGGATGAATTATATTGTATAACAAACTCAGAATTGTGAGATATTATTCAGGATTATGTGACATCACATTATAAAGAAAAGAATATGAGGCAGCACAATTATTTTCAACGATGATAATAATAATGAGAAGAAATGCTTCTTAATCATCAAATGGTCATATTATAGTCATTTCTGAAGGATCCTGAATACTAAAGACTGCAGTAATGATAATGAAAATTTAGCTTTTACATCACAGAAATGAATTACACTTTAGTATATAGTCTGTTTACATTTAAATTAGTATTATTTCACAATTTGACTGTATTTTTGATCAAACAGTGGCAGCCTGTGTGAGCAGAAGAGACTTAATTACTCTACATGTGCTGAAGTATTTCAGATGATTTTCCTGATCAACTGTAGGAATGAGCATCTAAACTGTTAGTAAATCCTGATGTAAACTAATATATTTACAGTAAAGGCTGATGAACCCCTGTGTGTTTCATGCATCAAATCAAATATGAGGAGAAATATTAGATCTCACTGTAAACAGACTCAACATACTGTAATTATTATCTGAACTCTAGAGCTGTTTCTACTTTAATGTGCTGTGGATGAAGTCAGAAACACTCAGATAGAAAGGAAAACACACTGTAAAATTACTGTGCTTTACTCAAAGAAGTGAGAAAACCTGTTGCTTTCAAAGTGATTTGTTGACTTTACTTAAAGTGAGTAATCCAAATGCTTTTACAGTTATTAGATGACTTTTTGTTGTTTTTGTAATTACATTCCTTTTAAAACAGTTAGTTTACTTAAAAGAAGTGAGTAAACTTGTTGTTAAATTCAACTAATCCCTTTAATAGCAACAGTTTTACTCACTTTTATTAAGTTAAGTCAACTAATCACTTTAAAAGCAACCGATTTACTCACTTTTATTTACTTAAGTCAACTAATCACTTTAAAAGCAACCGATTTACTCACTTTTATTAAGTTAAGTCAACTAATTGCTTTAATAGCATCAGATTTACTCACTTTTATTAAGTTAAGTCAACTAATCGCTTTAAAAGCAACAGATTTACTCACTTTTATTAAGTTGTCAACTAATCGCTTTAAAAGCAACGGGTTTACTCAATTTTATATAGTTAAGTCAACTAATCACTTTAAAAGCAACAGATTTACTCACTTTTATTAAGTTGTCAACTAATCACTTTAAAAGCAACAGATTTACTCACTTTTATTAAGTTGTCAACTAATCACTTTAAAAGCAACAGATTTACTCACTTTTATTAAGTTGTCAACTAATCGCTTTAAAAGCAACCGATTTACTCACTTTTATTAAGTTAAGTCAACTAATCGCTTTAAAAGCAACCGATTTACTCACTTTTATTAAGTTAAGTCAACTAATCGCTTTAAAAGCAACGGGTTTACTCACGTTTATTAAGTTAAGTCAACTAATTGCTTTAATAGCATCAGATTTACTCACTTTTATTAAGTTAAGTCAACTAATCGCTTTAAAAGCAACCGATTTACTCACTTTTATTAAGTTAAGTCAACTAATCGCTTTAAAAGCAACGGGTTTACTCAATTTTATATAGTTAAGTCAACTAATCACTTTAAAAGCAATGGGCTCACTCCCTTTCTTTAAGTAAAGACAACTAATCACTTGATAAATTAATGAATCAAATGCTTTTTTGCATCTCTTTTAAGACAGAATGGACTCAAACCCATTACAAGGGTTCATATCCTTCTTTTTTTGTCTTTTCTTTTAAATCTTGATTCAAGAATGTTTAGATATCTGTACTTTATCGCTTGAATAACTAGTCCTGTGGGATTATTTAGACTTCTCACAGCACATAAAAGCTGAATCGCCCCTGAGTTCCTCTGATTGGCCGGTGATGTTGAATACAGTGGTATATAAACACACAGATGCGTGAGCTGATGATGAGCAGCTTCACTCTTCATCCTCTACTGTACATCATCTTCATCATGCTGAAGGCTTGCGTTTGCATAGAGAAGTT